GTGAATACCAGAATTCGAAAGATTAGAACGCGAAAGGATGTAGGTATTGTAATGGCTTAAACGCCCTCAGCCTAGCCACATAGGATCAAGTCAGCTAATTTGTTTGTAATAATTACCTATTAAATAAATAATAATAATAATAAACAGAAGGTAGGGAACAAACCAAATTCCTGTGCGTGGCGTCGCCGTGGCGCCGGGGTTCCCGGAGCGACCGCGCGCGGCGCAGCGCGTGAGCGTGACCGGAGCGGCTGCTGCCGGGCGACGGCCGTAGGGGCCGCACGCGCGAAACGTCACGCAAGCAGCACAGCCAGGGGGCGAGATGGCGGCGCGGGGCGAGGCCGGCGCCGGCGCCGCCGCCGACGACGCCCGCGCGGCGCGCTGGGACCGGCTGCCCGACCTGGTGCTCACGCAAGTCTTCTTCTACCTGAGCGACCGCGACCGCGTGGCGGCCAGCGAGACGTGCGCCAACTGGCGGCGCGCGCTCGCCGCGCCCGCCATCTGGCGCCGGATGCTCGTGCGCCTCGACCGCGACCTGGTGGCGGCCCCCCCCGCGCCGCCGCCCGCCGACGCCCCCGCCCTGCACCGCCGCGAGGCAAGCGAACCCTCTGGTTGCAGTTTCACTGCTAGATCCACAACGTATACAGCAACTGGGCTCGAAAAATGCCGAGGACACCATAGATACACTCCCATGCCACAGACATCTACATCTCGAGCTGTTGGAATTCTTTTACCTGACTAAAAGATCAAGTTTAGGGCCACATTAACCGTCAACCGCTCTGGATTTCAAGGTTCATGAAGCTAATCCATACACGATCACGAGAACTTAAGAGTGCTGTTAATTTGCCTTAGGATGGCTTTCAAAATCAATTTTATGAAAAAAATTGCAAAAAATGTTGAAAACTAAGCTCATTATATCAACTATTGTGTAAAATATTCATAAAAACCCTAGACGTTAGCTTTCCTTTTTATTTTACTTATATATCTACGGACTGGAAGCATGTCATAGCTCTAGCCAAACAGAATGAGTCCTTTCTAGTGGTACAAATGAACCACACATATTTCTAAAATTCAACAACCATTGAATCTTATTTGCCAAACAAAAAGCTCAAAATTTAATGCTTCAAAATATTTATGGATGAAATATCATCTTGAAGATCCCTGCAATATTCATATTTGAAGTAGCCATAATGCGACACCTTGGAAAACATTCCTGGTTTATGAAAATAAATAGGAACTGTGGGCTGAATGTCATCAGCCAGTTCCAGTGCAATTATTTTCATGGCTTAACTGCTGGATTTTTATAATGACTTAGAGCGTTCTTTATATTACTTCTTTATCACCTTTGATTTTATATTTTTTTACATAGCGATTATGTGACTTTTTTTCTAAATTATAGTACATAAAATTCTGGAGCAATAAAATAGCGTAATACTTAATGCTGATTCATTTGATATGAAATTAAATCTAGAAGATCGTACAGTATATGATAACAAAATATATTCACGGAATAGTGGTCTGTTACAAGGATACTAGTAAAATTGATGACAGGAAGTAACATGCAGCGTTTTGACTTGTCCTGTAAAATTCAAGGCGAGACTAAAAGCAATCAGGCCCGCTCTTCCGTCTGACCACGCAAATTTCGCTACGCTCCTTTCACCAACTAGCAGAGAAAGGAGGCATTTCTTGGGCGAGAAACAGGCGATTTGAATTTATCTCAGAGGCTTCATTTAGACTTGATCTTTTACATGAAGTAAAAATACTAACACGGGACAGACGGCTTCCGCTCCGACGAAGGATTTTTTCGTCCTAAAAACGGTTTCGATCGGGTTTGAACCCGGGATCTCCCGTATAAGAGTCCGATACGTTAACCGTTACACCATCGCCGCCGCTGAATTGTTCAACTAATTATCCAACCTTTTCATCAACCAATCTTTTAATTTGTTTATATTAAATAATCAAAACACTTGGTTCTGTGTACGTAAATTTATAATAAATGTACCTTCTAAATTGGCTTTCTTCCAACTTATAAACAAACATATAAAAACTTCAAGTTAAAAAAATATTTAGTGAACATACGTTCGAAATTAAAAGTTTGTGAATAGTGAAGGTATTTTTTGCGCTTTAAATGGAACAACCAAGCTCCATCTCATGATAAGAATAAGTTCTCATGATTGTTTTACACCAGCCAATTTCTCATCCAGTAAAACTCATTGATATAAGATTATATCCTGAAGAAATTACAAGAAAAACATTTCCATATATCTTAGTTTTAAAATAACATCAATATAATGTGTGTGTTTGAATGATATTCCTATATCCAAAAATGCTAGGAAAGCAGATTTATGAAGATAAGATTGGTTACTACGTAATTATAAGTGAATAAGGGGAATATTTAAAAAAAGCTTTTCTCGAAAACTGCTCCAATTTTTTCTGCACACGTTTGTTAGGAATAATACTAAACGCACACTTATAAGAAGAAACATATGAAATTTACACGAGAACTTTCAATCTATTGTAAATATAATTTCAGTCTGAAATAAACATGAATATTTATATTCATTATTTTACTTGAGATCGAGGGCTTCTGAAATCCGAAAATAGTCTCAGGTATGCAACCCGTGTAACAATCAGTCTTGACGGGTAGCATTTTTAAGGGGCTATCACAGAGCAGAGAACTGGAAGTAACTATAGATTTACAGAATGTCACAGACGTATTCGTGGTAGTTTTTTATTTTGTTTGGTCTATGGTACCTTTTCCGTCTTGCCCCACGCTCTCGCCACATGGGCCATCTATCGCCACCCAAAGAACAGTTTTACTCTTCTGCATACCTACGAATATATGGAGTATTATACGTTTGATAGCAAAATGTGGCGTCGCCAATGCTGTTAAGTGTTTTAAAAATAGTTTCATATTTTGAAAATTTCTTTCATACTTCACTTCTCTCATGCCCAGCTTTCTTTAAATATTTTATTTTATATCAAGGAACATTTTTACTTTTTTTTTGCTAATATGAACAAAAATGTACATAGCATATTTGCATTAGCAGAAATTCTAAAAGTAAAAATGCAAATCGTTTCCAATTAGTTCCGAAAATTCTGTCGAAACATCTTTTACAACTACATTTGATTCCTCCCCGGTTTTCTTTAAAACTTTCATACTTTTCCCCCTAATTTTTGAAGAGATTAAAACTTTACAAACTTGGTCTACTCACACTCACAAACACACAAACACAGAAAAGAGCACTCATTCCCCCAGTTTAACTTGACTTCACTTTACCAAAGTTACACTGGCACAACTCCTTGAGTCCGTCGCTCCGTTTGAAGACGTTCGAACAGTTCGGGTCGCGACAAGAGATGTACTTGAATTTTATTGATATCGGTTAGAAAAATAAACAGCCAGAATAAATAAAAAGGATATTTTATAATTATTCGAGCATACTAGTATAAACTTCACCAACCTAAAGTTCATGTCCAGGCATGATTCCTGATCGACAGGTGAATTTTTGCAAATAATAAGCCACAATTTCAATTACCAATTACCAGCGTTTTTATTTAACAAATTTATTTAACAAATAAAAATACTAATACCACATACTTTAATTAAAATATATACTGAATATATAATAATTGTACGAATCATAATGTTAAATAACGTTTATTCAAAGAGATAGTTTACACTTCCCCCCTTAGGATCCTGAATGCGAGCGATGGTGAGCAACCGATATTTTTTTTATCTGGCAGCCACAAAGCATATAGAAAAATAGAAAATTTATAGAATGTGCTGAAAAGTGGTGGTGATTCAAATACGTGTACTTGCTGGTTTATATTAGGTTACAAGTTGTCAAAGCAGTCGTAAATACTTTGCTACCATTATGATTCTATTCGTCACATGTCTAAGTCAACAGCGATGCATAAAACATCCTTGAGAAAACTTTCCAGTGCATTTTAAGCCAAAACATCGCCATCGCTTCTGTCAATTAACTTCTACCAAAATGTTTCTGATTAATTAGATGAAACTGAAACTCAACTTCGCACATTGTTAAATATAACATCATTATATTTAATTATTGACACTCCTCTCCAAACTTGCGTTTTGCAGACTTACATTTTTTAAACTTTACTAGCTTAAGTGAGTACTTTAATTACGTAATTTTAGTTTATGTTACGCGTATAGGTGTTGTGGTGTGATATCTTTGGCATTTTTCATAAAATAATTAAAGACGTTGTCATTGCCAACAATATTATTTAATGCAAGGTAGTCGTTTTTGTGGCTTCCATCCAGCAGACAACTGATGATGATGGCTAAGCCATCGAAAGCTGCTTTTGCATTAAATAATACTGTTGGCAATGACAACGTCTTTAATTATTTTATGTTACGCGTTTTCAACTTTTACTTTTCATAGCGATTCACATGTTTCCCAAGTTTTCCCCAACGTTTTTCTATGTCGCTACATTCCCTCGCGTAGTTCCAAAGTGTCTGTTCGCCGCCACCCACACAGCGCCTTCCACGCGCGTTCCCTGCGCGCAGCTGCGTTAGCCGAGCGCCGCGGGGGCGGGGCGGGGGTGCGCAGGGGCCGGCGGGCGAGCCGCTGGCGCTGGAGCTGGCGCGCCGCTTC